TCCTTGTCTTGTTCCTGATTTTAGAGTGAAAGCTTTCAGTTTTGTCTGTTTAGCATGATGTTGGCTGTTGATTTGTCATAGCTGGCTTTTATCAGATTGAGATAATGACCATCTATTCCATCTTTGCATGGGCTTTTTGTCATGAATGGGTGCTGGAATTTATCAGAAGCTTTTTCTGCATCTGTTGAGATGATCATATGAGTTTTGTCCTTGGCTCAGTTGATATAGTGTATTATGTTTATAGATTTGTATATGTTGAACCATCCCTGCATACCTGGAATGAATCCCATTTTGGTCACAATGTATAATCTTGACGATTTGCTGCAGCCTTGGTAGTCAGTTTAATGGCTCTTGAGAAGTCAACAGAAGTCACTCAGACTGCTTGCTTATTTATTTGAATAGTCTGTGCCAAATTAGGCCTGATAAGTTGGCCTTTGAGAATAATCTGCAAATATCAAGTAAAGTTGAGAATATTTTCTGAGTTGAACAAAGACTAATTCAGTATCATCTGAAGTTAGATGTGTGAAATAGGCATCAAAAACAAAAGACTTAGTTGAATTAATTTATAAGTTTGTCATGTAAGATATAAGCCTTTTGTTATTCATTGTATTTTTTTGGTAGGTACTTTATGTAACATAGAGTGTGTCTTACGTGTTAATGGTTAGTGTAAATCATTTTGGATCGAACCATTTTCCTCTCATGAATTTTTGGAACTTACAAAATGAGTTTCTGTATATCTACAGCACAGCAGGTTAATATCATAAACCTAGGGTTGAGATTGAAGTATTATTTTGCTTAGAAAAAAATGTTATTGTTGAACACTGAATGACTTTAGATACTTAACCTCTCTGGAGACTTGATAATGTTTCTTACTGTGTTCGAATTGAAATTATAGGACAAAGTGCTACTATATTTGAAACATTCTGTTGTAATTGACAATTTTTAAAAAATTAAATTAATATCAAATTGCTTTATATGCTTCATATACTGTTAGAAAGTAAAAGCAATAATGAAATCCTTTTAACAACTGCATTAAATCTCTATTGTATACAGGGCAGGGGTTGCCAAATTGTCCGAAGGACCAAATATGCTCAAATGGCTGATTTTTGTATGGCCCGTAGCTAAGAATGTCCTCCCAGGCTTTTTGTTTTTGGCATACTGAGGAGCAAACCTTGGATCTCATGCATGCTAGACAAATGCTCTACCAATAGGTACACTATAAACCTAAATTTTCTCTTTTTATATATAGTCAGATATGTTGAGGTATGTATGTGTACATAGGTTTATGTATATATGTGTGTGTATAAATAAAAGTTTTTTAGCCATAGTATTATATATGTTTTGTATAAATTACAGGCCTATACTGTGTTTTTTAGACAGTATAGTCCTATAATCCGAGCTACTTGGTAGACTGAAGGAAGAGGATTGTGAGTTTGAGGCTAGCTTGTGAAGCATAATGAGACTCTGTATATATATATATATATATATATATATGTATTTATATGTTTAAGTATTTATATTTTTTAGTACCGGCAATTGAACTCAAGTCCTGCTTGCCAGGCAGGCACTGTGCCACTAAGCAATATACCTGGTCCTGCGACTTTTTTTTTTAAGTCTTTTTTCTTACTATTTTAGATTTAGATCAGGGGAAAATTTCTTCATTCTCTACTTACAGAAAAATGTATTCTCATATTTTCTTTTAGTACTCATGTGGTTATATTTTTTGCTTATCATATTTGTATGTCTGATGCGCTTGTGAATTATTAATATTTTTTTCCACGTGGCCATTAGACCCTCCCTAGGGCATTTTTCCTTTCTTCCTTCTTTCTTCTTCCCTCTCCTTTCTTCCCTCCCTCCCCATCATTTCCCTTCCCTGCTTTTCTTTTTTTTTTTTTGTGCTGGCAATCAAATAATAGACAAACATTGTAACACTGAGCTATACCCCTAAGCTGTCTTTTATAGATTTACTAGTCCTTCTTGTTTTAGAATTCTTTAAGATTCTGCTCTTTTTGGTGGCAGTTGTTTTATCTTTTGGTAATTTGGTAGAGCAAGTGTTTCATGGGATTTTTTTTTTTGTCTCATTGATTTCTAGAAAATACTATGCTTAAGAATTTACTGTATCAATTTAAATATTTTTATGAATCATAATCTTAGTGTGTATATTAGTATTTGTGTAGTAACTATTGAAATGACATTTTTAGGGTTCTTAGACAAGGGAGAATAAGTCTATTCCTTAGTTTAACAAATTTAATGCTGACTTAAGGGTTTAGAAGGTAGGAGATGGAGATGTACAGAAAATGAAGGAAACATACTTGTGTGTGGGAAGAAGAGTGCAGTATTGTAAATACTGCAGGAGTTTTGAAGTACAAAAAAAGTGTCCAATTCTTTGTCATAGTGCTAAAATTTTATAAACATTTTGACATTTTATCTAAAACTCAAAATTTTGAGTAAGAATTTGTTAGGCAGATAAGATGCAAGTTGCAAATCTAGAGCTGGTTTAAAATTTTTAATGTAAAGTTACAATGTTACTAAGACTTGATCACTCAAAAACAAATAAGGTTTTAACACTGATTTTTTTCAAAAATATTTTTACAAATTGCTTCAGTATTAACACTTAAAATTTTTTTTTTCAATTTCAAGGATCAGTTTTTTTTTTGTGGCACCAGGGATTGAACTCACGACTTCACGCTTGCCAAGCAGGCACTTATGCTGCTGAGCTAAATCCCTGGCCCAAGGAGCAAATTTTTATGTGCTAAGTAAGTGTACTGCTGCTGAGCTATATATCAGAAGCCCCTTAAATATTAACATGTCATATGGAATTTAGTTCAGCCTTTTCATTTTAAGGATAAGAAGTTAAGTGAGTTTTCTATGTTCATAGTATCTTCGAAGAAATGTAATTGATAATTGATACTCTTTGTTCCAGGAAATTTCCAGAGCAGGGAAATTGAAGTATACGGGGCAACTGGTGTGTATTAGAAATGTAATACGGGGATGGGGATTTAGCTCTGCGGCGTAAGCGCCTGCTTTGCAAGTGTGTGGTCATGAGTTCGATCCCCAGTGCCAAAAAACAAACAAAAAAAAAAGAAAGTAAAAAAAAAAAAAAAATGGAATACAACTTAATTTATACGGTCTTGTTGTTGTTGTTGCTGATTGAATACAGGGCCTAACACATGCCACTCATGCCAGGCAGGTAGGTTTTGTATCACTAAATTATATCCCCAGCTTTTTATTTTGTGACAGGATCTCCCTTAGTTCAGTCTGACTTGCAACTTGATTTTCCTGCCCTAGTCTCCCAAAAACTTGGAATTACAGGGACAAACATGATCTGTTCTATACAGTTATGAAGTTTTGTAGCAGAAATTGACATTGGAGGTGTGGTGGTGCATACGTACAATCCAACTACTCTGGGAGTCTGAGGTAGGAGGATTGCAAGTCTGAATCCAGCCTGGGCAATTTAGTAACTTAGTGAGATCTTGTGTCAAAATTAAAAATTAAAAAACTGGGAGATAGCTCAGGGTAAAGGTCCTGAATTCAGTTCTCAATACGAGAAGGAAGGAACAGAAGAAAAGTAAAGAGGGAAAGAGATAAAAAAGGGAAGGAGAGAGACAGAGAAAGAGAAAGTTGGTGTTGTTATTTCACTAGATGTGAGGCCTGTGGTGGCTGAGGTTTAGCTCAGCGGTATAAGTGCCTGCCTAGCAAGCATGAGGTTGTGAGTTCAATCCCCACTACCAAAAAAAAAAGAAAAAAAAAGTGAGGCCTGTTTAAAAGGGATATAAAGGACATAAGAATAATTAGATAATCTTGTTTTCTTTAGAATTCTAATAAAGTAAATTCTATTGTTTTAATTGCTAAAATTAAACATCAGAAGAAAATAGCTAACATTTATTGTAATGCTAACTATGCCAGAATACTGGTCTGTGCTTACATTCATTAACTCTTTTAACCGTCACAACTAATCTACGACATAGGTTATTATTTTCACTTTACAGACTAGGAAAATGTGACTTCCCAGTTTTTTAATACTTACATAATCTGACAAAGGAATTGGCAGCAGAACTACCGAGGAGGAAGGGAAACAGACAGAGAAAAACTGGTTGTCTGTATGCCTGTTTATCTAAGGAGTCAGAAGTGTAAATCAGGTTTATGGGAGAACAGTTGTCTATGATAAATGTATACGTTTTGTTTTTACCGGTACCAGGGATCGAACTCACGACTGCCTGCTTTCGAGGCAGGCGCTTATGCCCCTGAGCTAAATCCCCAGCCCCTAATGTATACTTTTCCCTGCTGTGCTTTTCTTTGACATATATGTCAGATTTGACTAACACTGTCATAAATATCTGAAAGGAAAAGAAAATTTACTAAGTTACATTTTTTGGTGTATTTCCTTATATGTGGAGATTATTAATAAGTGGTATCTGCCTGTTGCACACAATGCATACAGCTTGTCATTGTAATATGTTTTTAATTGTTCTTATATCATTTCTTTTGCTGTGTCAGAATTAGATAAGTCTTTAAATACATTATGACATTGAAATCTTCTCAAGATATTAAAGAGGTATCTAAAATTTTGAAGTGCTATGTTGTAGACATCCTCTTCCCCCTGTTGTTTTTTTTATTTGTATGTTTGTTTGTTTTGGACGATAGTGGAGTAATGTAAATTAAACCCAGGCTTTTATATTGAGCTATGTTTCTAGCCCTTTTAGACTTTTTTACTTTGAAATAGGGTCTTTATATCCAGGTGGGCAAACTCTTGTGGTCCTCCTGTGTCAGCCTTCCAGAGGGCAGGGATTACAGGTATGCTCCATATGCTTGGTTTAGAAATGTCCTTTTTAAAGTGCCACAAGTAATTGTAATAATGAGCCAAGCTTAGGAATTACTGCAGCAGTAGATCACATTACTTTTTCCGTGAAATTTCATAATTTTTGTGAATGTAGTCAGTAAATGATCTTACCTAAATTATTTCGAGCAGCTTTTAATTTCCTGCTTTTCTTATTTTACAGTTTATGCCAACGTGGCTTCATTCATACAGATGAACCAAGGATCGGGATAGCAGTTTAAAATTAGAATCAGATAGCTGACTGTCCAGCAGGATGCCATCAACTAATAGAGCTGGCAGTCTAAAGGACCCTGAAATTGCAGAACTTTTCTTCAAAGAAGATCCAGAGAAGCTCTTCACAGATCTCAGAGAAATTGGCCATGGAAGCTTTGGAGCAGTATATTTTGTAAGTCTCAAAATATATATTTGATGTCTGAGTACAGAACAATAATGTAAGATACAGAATTTGCTGAGTAGAAAAACAGAAGCCCTACCATACTGTCATGACACATTTCTTAGACTAGATATGTCCCAGTACATCAAGCAAGCAATCATTTCTGCAGCAGAAAGATACCTGGATGTCTTCTAATTCAATTCTGTTCCAGCACTACCTGGAAATAGTGTCAGGTCCAACAGGTTGAGAGCTTAGTCCAAGACTGTCTTCTACTTCAGATGCCGAAGATTCTAGGTTGTGGAATTCTGACTCATCAGCTATAAATCTGGCTTCCCACAACAACCTCCTTTTTAATTTAATTTGCTAGATCAGTACATTAAGAGAAACCAGTTTATTGAAACGAATATTCTAAAAGATGCAAAAGAATATGAGAATGTTTTAAGAGGATATAAATCTCTTCAGGTTAAAGGAATACATACTGAAGTTTGTAAAGATCCCTAACTCAAGCTTCCTTCCTTGGAATTGGTGTATACCAGTCTCTTCACATATAGATGTGTTCTTGTTCTTTGAAGACCATAAACTCAATCCTGTTGTATTTTATGGAGGTTTCATTATACCATTAATCAAATCATCAGCTTTTAGTGATTAACTCAAACTGTAGCTTGTTTTCCTTCCTGTGATGTGGGGGGTTAGGTTGTTGAGTACCTTCTGAGCACTCTTTGATTTTGATCTCCTGGCAAATAGCCTTCATCCTGAGGTTATCGAGGGGCTTTCCAAAAATGACCTCATTAAGGTAAGCATAGGTGTGGTTATTATAAATAACAAAAGGTTTTTCACTTTTATGGCTCTGCTGCTGTTCTAGGTCTGTGTCTAGAACAAAAGATAAAAGGCCAAATATTTTAACAAAAGAGAATTGAAAAACATCAAAATATCCCACCTTAAATATATTTTTGTGTTGTACTTTGATTTGGTTATTCAGAGAAAGTATACCTCTGCAGAAAAAAAAATTTGTGAAAAGAAATTTATAGTCATCTACATTAGTAAACATGTATGCAGGCTGAGGCTTCCTATCTCATAGTCCTCATCTATTTAGGAAAAACCTTTCCATTGGAATAAAAAATTGAAATTCTAGGGGCTGGGGATTTAGCTCAGCGGCATAACCGCCTGCCTTGCAAGCAGGCAGTCGTGAGTTTGATCCCTGGTACCGATAAAAACAAAAAAGACCAAAAAAAAAAGAAATTCTGACACCTGACCCAGACAGGTAAACAGTTACTTGAGAGTTACTTGAGAGACTTTGTCAACAAAATATCAACAACCTTTGTCCACCTTTTCTTCCTCTCATTAGCCTCCCAGAGTTTGCCATTATCAACACCTACCAACCTCAAGTCTATACTTTCCTCTTGTTTTCCTTTCCTTCTTTACTTGCTTTTTCTTTTCTTTTTTTTTGAGATAGAATCTTAACACATAGTCTAGTAAGGCCTCAAACTCATAATCTTCCTTTGTCACCCTCCTGAATCCTGAGGTTATAGGCTTGTGCCACTCTGCCCAACTCATCAACTTCCTATTTCTTTCTGTAGCTCAAAATACTATTTAAGATTCAGCCAGCTGGCCTTTTCTTTAGTCTCCTACTTTATGGTGCCTGTGTTTCTGTGCATTATTAAGTGCATATGCTTTTTTTTTCTTTTCTTTTTTTTCGGGGGGGCAGGTTTCAGAGATCGTACTCACGATCTTGCACTTGCCAGGCTTTTCCCATTTTTCTATTGCCAACTCATAGACTAAAATTATTGAAACTTTGTAGGGGAAAGAGAAAATTTATAACTTTTTTATTTAGTTGCTTTTTTTTTTTGGTACCAGGGATTGAACTCGTGACCTTGCACTTGCCAGGCAGGTGTGTAAGCCACTAAGCTAAGTCCCTGGCCCATAACTTTCTTACTTAAAAGCACTTTCTTTCCTCAGGGATAGGTATTAGACCCTCAGTGGATGCTTGAAACCAAAGATAGTATTGGACTTTATAATTTAACATTTTTTCTCTCTATTTTTTTTTTTTCTTTCGCTTAGTGTTAGGGATCAAACAGGGTTTCACAAATACTAGGGAAATGGCACTAATTTCATTTTCTTTCTTTATAGTTTTATGTTAGATTTGTTCTTTCCATAGAACCTAGCAATATTAGTATACAGGTGCTTTTCTCTTGTTGAGAAGCTTTATTACATCACTCTTTTACTTAAAAGAAGCATTTTGTGGTTTCTCTTTGGCATACAGTTGCCAGCATCACTCTTCTTCTAATTTTGTCCTATTACTAAATAAATTAATCATTACCTGAGTAGAAGTATCGCCAGTCAGTAACTAGTGTGGATCTTTAGCTGCATTTAAGATGGAAATCACAGCTGGACATGGTATCATATGCCTGTGATCTCAGCATTATAGGAGACCAAGGCAGGAGGAATCAAATTGTAGCCTAGCCTTTTGCAACTTAAATCTTGTCTCAAAAAATAAAAAAAGGGCTAAGAATATAACCCAGTACAAAGGCCCTGAGTTTAAAAAACAACAACAATAAAAAACTCAGACATGGACTAATTCTAAAGCGAAAATAAAATGCAAATTTATTACAGGAAAACAACACAGCTGACTGCCCTGTTGGTCCTCCAGTCCCAGCAAACAGACAGCCTTAGTAAAGGTCAGCAAAGCTGCCTATTCCACAGACAAAGGAGGCATTTTACCTTTATGAGATCTCAAAGAAATGTTATTAATTATTCTTTTTTTCCAGGAGGGTTAGAGACTCTGTACTAGAGAGAGTTTAGTTACTCTGCAAAATTTACAATTTTAGGGTCAGCTCTGGGTCAGATCTGTTGTCAGCTTTGTTTAGTCCTATCCAGTTTGCCTATGTATCCTATTTTGTTGTCTGAAAAACTGCATCAGGTTGTTCCTCATTTACTTTCTCACTTTTATTGCCAAAAGTCACAGCTGCCTACTCCTTGTTCTTGGACTGGAACTTTGAAGTATTGCCTGATTGCTGCCTGTCTCACAAACACTGAGATACCATAACAGTTATTCTGGTAACTAAGATAGCTATTAAGTCACTAATGGTGGGTAGCATATTCAGTGTGGATCCTCTGGATGAAGGAATGAGTTAGGTGTTAGGCACAATGAATGAATTACTCAATGTAGCTCAAAGGGAAATTTTATTATTTGATCAATCTTGCATGCCTGTATCGGGTAGCTAGAGCAATTACTTTGAGGATAACAATATGCAACATAACAACCATTGTTAAATTCCTATCTATCATCTTGTTTTGAAATCCTATATTGGCATTGTTTTTTTTGTTGTTGTTGTCATTTTGTTTTTGTTGTTTTAAATGTTTGTTTGCTTCTTGATTTTTCTGTTTTTTCTCTTAAAAATAAAACCTTCAGAGAAAGCTGCTCTTAGACTTTGGAGGAAAAAGCTTTTTTTGAAGGTCAGTGAGATCTTGGTTCTGACTCAGTTTTTTGTTTCAAAGTACTCACCATGTCAAATAGCCATACTTTGGGGTATTATTTTCTTAGCCCTAGTAAGTCCCTGTTAACAATTTTGAGAATATACTTAGCAGTGTTACTTTGGCAAGGCTGTATTTATATTTTAAGGACCTGCCAAACAGCACTATAGATGCTATACCATTTCCATTCCCATTCCTACCAACAGTATTAAGTATGTTCCAATTTCCCACATCTATAACATGGCTTGATATTTTTTGTAAATCCATCCATCCTAGTATTTTGATTATAACTACCCTATGTGTGAAAGATAGTATCTCACTAAGGTTTTTTTTTTTTTTTTTTTTTTTGTCTTTTTCCTTTTTATTGGTACCAGGGATCGAATTCACAACTGCCTGCTTACAAGGCAGGCGCTTATGCCACTGAGCTAAATCTCCAGCCCCTCACTAAGGTTTTGATTTGCATTTTTCAAAAGACTGATGATATGGAGCATCTTTTTTTTTTTTTTTTTTTTTTGTCTTTTTCCTTTTTATCGGTACCGGGGATTGAACTCACGACTGCCTGCTTGCAAGGCAGGCGCTTACGCCGCTGAGCTAAATCCCCAGCCCTGGAGCATCTTATTACATGCCTTTTATATTTCTTTTTTGGAGAAATTCTATTGTGTACCTTTTGCCTATTTGTAAAATTGGGTTGCTTGTTTGTTACTGAGCTGTAGGGGTTCTTTATGTATTCAGGGTATCAGTCCCTGCCCACTTTTGCCCTTGCAACTAAACAACAATTAGATAAACAGCTGTACATTTACAAATGGGCAAAAGAACTAAAATTTCTCTAAACCTAGTGCTTGACCTTGGGCAGGTGCCCTGCCACTGAGATATATTCTCAGTCCTTATTTTATTTTGAGACAGGGTCTTTATAAACCTGTGCACCTTGGGCTTCAACTTTGGTTCCTTCCTCCTCAGTCTCTCAAGTAGCTGGGTTCAAAGGTATATACCACCATCCCCCAAATTATTTATTGCTGATATAATTAAATAGTTGATTCCTATACCCTATATATTTGGTGAATTTATTTCCTCTAATATCTTTATTTTGGAGTTTTGGAAAGATAAAAATGAGCATATATCATCTTCAGGTAGAGATCATTTATTGGTTTGTAATTTGATGACTTTGATTTGTATTTCCTGTCTTAATTGCTCAGGCTAGAACTTCTAGTACAGTGTTGAATAGCAGTATAAAAGTGAGCATTTTGTCTTATTCCTGATTTTAGGGATTCAACTCAAAATTTCTCTGTTAACTATGCTGTTGGTGCTAGATTTTTTTGACTTTTAACATGTTAAGGTAGTTTCCTTTATCCTTAGTTTTTCTTGTGTTTTTGCTATGCAGCTGTTTTGAATTGTCAAATGATTTGCTATATCAACATGATCATGGAATATTTTTTTCCAAACCCATTTTATTCAAGGATAAAAAGTAAGAAAAAGAAGAAGAAAAATTTACAACAAAATTTCAAAACATGTCAATCAGGGAGCAACAATGGTACATACATTGT